TTTGAAGATTGCTTGGGTTTGTTTGGTTTTTTATTATTTTTATTTTTAGTGGGATCATCAGCTCTGTTTCTTAAAAATATTCCCCTTGCCCAGGAAGTGTCTGGAAACAAAAATATTCCGGTGGCAAATGAAATGTAAAGTGGGATTGGTGAGGTTTTGTGTAACTGGTGGACTCTGTTGTACCCCTTGTATTTCTCTTCTGTTCCCCTCATTCTGTTAAAGTTGCAGATTAAAGAGTGAGGGCCACAAACCCTGATTGTTCATCTGCCTCCACGTTCTTGCTTCAAGGGGTTGTTTCCTGGAGGATCAGGAGGAGAATTCTTCATTCCTGGTAGGAAATTTCCCCATTCTGATCCTGGTGCTGCCCATTTGAATTACTCTCTCAATTTTTTTTTAATTTACATCCAGAACTTTGTGAAAATCAGATTTTTATTGGTATTTTTTTATAGGAATGAGATAAAATTACAAACCCTCCTTTCAGAAAGTTTCAACTTCTGGGACTTGGGCCTGAATTTTGAGTAGGGCTTGGGGGGGGCTGAGCAGGTTCTTTCTTTGCAGCCAACTGAGATAAATGCATTTATTGAATGGGTTTGCAGGGACAAAAATCCATTCTGTGCTAATTAACAATAAATACAAGATAATACTGCATAAGGCAGCAGTTTCCCTGCACTGGGATTGTTATGATTATTATTATAAATCACATTTTGGTGGAGTTGAAGACTCTTCAAGTTTCTTCTCATTCCAGTACAGGAGTTTTCAAGTAAAGACTGAAGAAAAGGGATTTATTTGTGGGTTTAATTTAGAGCAGCTCAGTTGATTATCCGTTGTAGGTGGGTAGATGAGCTCTGTGGTGTCTCTACAACCAGCACCAAGAAGTTTTTATTTCCCCTTAAATTCTGGGAAAATTCCTTTTCTGCCTGGACTTGGGGAAATCAGCTGGTTCCTCCGCTGGGCCCTGCAGTTCAACCAGCGCTTTAAAAACATCACTAAAACCTAAAAGTACTCCTGAAAGAAGAGGCATTTTCTATTTTAAAGAACTGTTTCCTAACACTTCCCTGCTAAGGCTGGGGACTTGGTGTGGAGAGGCTCCTGTGGTGGTGCAGTTTCGCTCGAGTGGCTCTTTGGTGCCCAAGGAGAAATCAGTGAGTTTT